CAGTAAGTCACGAAAGCTTTTATGGGTTTAGAATGTCTCGGCAAGTCGCCTTCAAGATACATGGGTTAGGTTTTACCCCACTAGATTTCGAATCCAGATACTTGTGACCACCATCAGCGGTTATTCCATTTGATACGAGGTTATTTTTTGGGGAAGTCAGCGTTCCTATGTAAGTATGGCGATCAGCAACTTAGTGAAAACCTAAGTTGCCTGTTATGTAGAAAGTGGATAACATGTGAATGAAGCACAACTTTGGGACATTATACCTATTTGGACGAATGAATGTTAGTCCGAGTCTTGGAAATGTGGGGGCGCTGATAATCTGGAACAACGGAGGGTTGGTCACTAGCTTCACCATCAGAGACAGAATCGTCGCTGCTGACACTGATGCTTCACTGCCGTACAACCACAAAGTTTATCTAATTTTATTGAAAGCCTCAGAGTGAAAAAAATAGATAAGAGTGGATGATAAAGGAAATTTGTTGCCTTTCGCAAGCATTCTGAAGTGCCCATACCTCCAAGCGGTGAATCATTCTGGAAGAAAACTAACAGAATGAACGCCACTGACACTCATCAGCTGCCATTTCTTGCAATGTCCTCAGCCAAGCGCAGGAGGTTCACGAGGACCCCACTACAAAACGCGGATCACACCACCACCACCAACCAATCCTTCGTAATCCCTTTCCCGTTGTCCACCTCGCAGTTTGAGCCATTCTGAAGAAGGCACAGAGAACACTCGTTTCGGCAGACGGTGTTTCGGCATGCGTAGCTGAGCAGTGGTTGAGCCACTTCAATTGATGGTGTTGGATGTTTTCTGCGATTGAATTGCTTGCTGCATAACCAAGTTCCCCTTTCCGAATTACTTCGCTACGAATTCGTTGACGCCATCTGACATCAACGACGCTTCTGAGGCATCGGTGGTCAAAACCCTGAAGATGCCTCACATTATCTGCTTACGGAGACGATGTCTTGCAACCATACAACAACAGAGTCGAGTACATGCGATCCTTGAGACCCATTGATTTCGTTTTGACGCCACAAGTTACGCTAATTAGCAAATATGATTCGGCACTTTGAGATTCGTTCATTGATTTCATCAGACCCACTTCCGTCAGAGCAACTACCGAGGTATGAGAAATTCTCCACAAACTGTGATTCTGCTTGAATTGCAGGGGATATGTCCAGAGACTGCGCGTTCTGAAGCATGACTTTGCACTTTGAGGGTTCAAGAGACATGCTCAAAGATGGTATGATAGTGATCAGCTTAGTCCACAGGGCATGTGCTTCCTTTGTCTTCAAAGACTAGAACGATGTTGTCTGCGTACTTCGTCAAAGTTCTCACCAGTGACATCTTTAACACCAGGGGAGGAGGACCTTCCATCATTCGTCTCATTATTTCATTGGTTACGAAATTAAACAAGAATGGAGAGAGTGGACATCCTCGAACACCACTTCTTGTAGTGAGGCTGCTAGAGAGATCACCATGCACTCACACGCCCATACGTATGTGATTATAGGGACTGGGTTGTATTGACAAACTTCTGGAGCATACTCGGTATCTAACAGCTCTGACCGGACGCACCCTTGAGTTCAGGGAACATCAAGATTTTGTGTTATCCGTATGTATGGCGTTACTCTAACATCTGACGGAGCGTGAAGATTTGGTCGACGCAGCCTCTACCCGGTCAAAATCCTATTTGATGCTGACGGGTCAGAGGTTCGTGTGCTGTCTAAGGCAGCGAAAAGTTAGAGATGCCAGAAAATTTGCTACAACGGGAGCCGAACCAAAATTTCTGTGATTACCACATTCACTGCGAGTACCCTTTCTGAGAATGGACAGTATTATCGACTCACCCCAGTCGTCTGGAAGGGTCTATTTCTCCCAGATAGACACAAATAGGCCAGGGAAGCACTGATCGAGGAATTCGCCGGCATCCTTGCCTAAAACAGTTGAAAAGTCGTCAGGATCAAGGGTACGACGAGTCTTGAATAACGATATACACTCGGACGCTACTGAGCCTGATGGGAGTTCCATGTTCACAGTCCACTTTTCTGTTGGTGGCTAGGAGCCTGGCTTGGAGGTAGCAGGTGGCAAACTGAACTGCTATTCGAAGTGTTGAGCTCAGCGGTCAAGAATTCTTCTTTGCTGGATATCAGAGGGCCATTCTGATAGTTTAGCTGATAGGAGGCTTCCGAGGACCAGCATTTTCTGCTTCTTCCATTTTTTCGGCCTTTTGGCTTCACCAAGCTTTTCGGCTTACATGGATACTCAGTGTCACCTGTCGTCGGACGATGCGTCGGGTCGAATGGTGGTTTCGGCCAGGAGGAATTTGTTGCTGAGTCACCAGTAAAGCTACGGTTCTATTAGAGATCCAATGTTTCGATGAGGTTGGCTGGGTTCTACCGCAAATGGAGGTTTCGCACTGTGGATAACTGTTTCCAGTGGTTGTTACTATCCGATACCGTACCATCCGGCAGGCGTTTGAGGTACAAATGTCGGGTCGAATGGTGGTTTCGGCCAGGAGGAATTTGTTGCTGAGTCACCAGCAAAGCCACGGTTCTATCAGAGATCCAATGTTTCGATGAGGTTGGCTGGGTTCTACCGCAAACGGAGGTTTCGCACTGTGGATACCTGTTTCCAGTGGTTCTTACTATCCGATATAGGACCATCCGGCAAGCATTTGAGGTACAAATTCTGATAATTTCGTTTGAGCAATGAATTCGCCAGTTCTTCAATGGCTAAGCGATCCATACGTGTTTTCTGTAGACCTAAAAAGCCGCAGCACACAAGTACATGGCCAGAGTCCCCGGTGATATTTCTGAGGGAGCGGCAATCAGTGACTGACCCTCGCCACCGGTTACTGATGGTGGTTTGGTTGATTTGCATCCATGCCTGGTTCGTTGGTGGGCACCTCGTTGACGCGCAATTTCTGCTGTTACGGAAATTGGTTCTGTGAAGGAACAGCCTGTGGTCAGCACATGTCTGTAGCAGACGATCTCCGTTGTCGGTGTGCCTCATATCCAACCCAAGACAATCATCTAACCGGGTCCCAGAAGTTCTTAGTCTGTCTATCTTAGCGTTCATCTCACCAGCGACCACAACGAAGGCTGAGCTTTTAGCCCGCAGAAAAACAACTAGAGCGTCATAGAAACTATCTTTCGTAGGTTCATAGCTACGGTCCATTATGGTATAACTAGCCACAATTAACGATGTGAGACGGACCTCGCTTTCTCCAGATACTCTCACAAATGTTCTGAAACCCACCGCCCAGAGGCGACTTTCAACGCATATCCAGTCAACTAGAAACGTTTCCACCGGGTCGCTTAATGTAATACCCACTCTGGCACATCCGGTTTCAGTGGCTTTTGCATCACCCAAGGTGCACAGCCCGAACTTGGAAGGGAGAGAGTGAGCATTCACCCTTTATCCTTGTTACATTAATACACAGGAAATCCAGTCTACCAGCAAGAGCCACTTATTGTCCTGCTTGCTTCAGTGTGCGAACATTACGGCTTATGAGGTTTGATACAGGGCTCGAAGTGTTTTTGAATTAATACTGAAGTGTGGCTGGTGTGGCATGACGATATTATTTGTTGTAAGCGCCATGGTTGTACGTGAAGTGTGTTACTTCCAGGGCGCCCAGATCTAGAAAAGAGGACGATTGTGGTCCTCGATCAAAGCCTTTGGCTCAAAAGCTTGGACGCAACACTGCAGTGTTTGGCGGAAAATGTCAGCACTACCATTTCCAACGAACGAGTCGCCACACATTCCGATCCGCAATCAGAATGGCTAGAGAATGTGCTAGTCAAACCTCTGAGCAACGACAAACCTGGTATGAAAGACTTTATGGCACACTAACACCCCTCAGTATTTGTGTCACGGAAGCACTAACCGTCACACCACGACAAAACCCAATCTCTTTGTGACAGAACGGAGGGCAAAAGAGGGTTTCAAAGGCCAGTACCCCAGTGGAAAACTAGGAAGGAAATAGCTTCCTTCGGCAATCGTGTTTTGGGTGGCTTGAAAAGCACAGGCGGGTCCAGCTGCTGAACATGTATGGGAGTGAGGCAGAAAACGCGAGTTCACTACAACAGTTTCCATGGTGGTAGCGTAAGAATGGAGAGCGGTAGGTTAGCGAAATACACCCATTTGCAAACAAATTTGGTTTTGCGGTAAACTTATCTGGAACCTAGCTGAATCTCGTTTATGATGTTTCAAGCAACTGAATGTGCTGCACCGGGTCGCCTCATGTTTCCCATGGTACGATGTTGGAGATATCGCGATGCATCTATAGTGTGTATAGTGTATGTAGTGTATTACGTCTATAAAGGTAGGTTATATTCCGACGGTGAGATTACCGTCTCATCAAGGAGTGCAGTAGAGCATAATTTTTCTCTTGAAACTATCTAGANTCGGGCGTAAAGATAAACATATTTGGCTCCTGCTAGCTTCGAATGTGAATGTTTACAGGATCGGCATGCATGTGGCATTCTTGCGATCACGAATAATCGGCGATGAGATAGATTGTCCAGGGGAATAATTTAGAAATGTGAAGATTATACGTGGAAGTCTGAATGCAATCGAAGGCAAGGTGCATTATCAGTTTGACAACTAGGTTGTCATGTTACACTCGGTGGAAGGTTTTTCGGACATCGAGGTATATTCATTTGGTTTCGGCAATCGAATATAGTTCAGATGGTCAAACGTATGATACGCACGTTATGAAGTAGTCTTTGCAGAAGTTACACCGTAACACATTGGTAACCCCTCAGGGGGCTTTTAATTTTCAGATCGCATAGGAGTTGTTCTGCCAAGATTTACTACAGAAATTGTGGCAAAATGAATTTAGTCGTTCGGCCTGAACGAAGGGCTTCGTTTGTTCGAGTACATGGGAATCCTTCCAAACAGGTGAGTTTACAGCGAAAGAGAGAAGGACGGAAGCGACGGGGTATGACTGGAGAGAGTTCTGGCTTGCAATGAAAGAAGTACCACCCAGTCCATGAAGCTTGAAGATATTTGGCTTCAGCAGGCATTGATGCTCAGCCTTGGTTGGAGTTTGGAGTTGCTAGGTGGGCTAAGTCGGAAGCTGGGGGAAGACTAGTAGAATTTTGGGCGAAGAGTAAGAAACGTACATCGGCCTTCTCTCCTTGGAGTTGTTTCAAGGTGCTACTGTAATCAGGAATAAGAGGACGAGATGGAAAACGTTAATTCCGGCTGACGGCGCAAGATAGTACTTCTAGTGGCTGTACTGAACGGCTGATCGGCCTTGTGTCTGAGGAACGTATTCTTGATCTTATCAATGATGGCAGAATAAGGAATGCGACATATGGCAAGGTCCTAGTGGGATGGTGGAGAGGCATGGGGATTCCTTTATTTTTTCCCTATGCTAGCGAACATGATGGAGGCCCAGTGGTGGAGATGAGGTCTGGTGTCTGTATTGGTTCACCGTCACATTTCAGAGTTCAAGTCAAAGGGAAGCAGTTTGGACCAAAGCCTTGGTGGTTGCAAAAAGTTCCACCTTATGACCGACGGCTTCAATATGAGAACCTTATTCAGTCAAAATTAAAGTCCCACAAAATACAAAGTTACAAGCGAGGTCAGAGTTTAAGATGCGCCCGCAATTGACTCTCAACTGGAGGGAAGTATGATCCAGCTGCCCGTAGGTGGCTCATGTACACAACGAAAATATTGGCAACTTTTAGGGCGGACCATTTTGTGCCAGAAATGATGAGAACAAGTTGAGTACCAGTCAGTGAAAAAAGTCGGTGAGGAGCGAATGTGAGCTTGAGCCAGCTTTACCTTAACCACTCACGCAAAACGGGACGAATACTCTGATCCAATGCTGGTATCATGAATGGTCGAAAATTATTTTGGTCTCTGTTCATGACCTTCCGCATCCACTTGCAATCCTGTCCGTGTGCTTACCGTTAAATCTGTATTTTGCCCTATTATTCTGCCAAGAGGAATACATTATTTTCACCACTACCGTATTCAGTCTGAACGAAACCGCCCGTTGACCCACAATCTGTTTTTACGTTGTGTTGTTTCTTTTCTTTTCATACTACCATTTTTCTTATGTCAGGTAAGGCGTTGCGGGCGTGCGCTCTGCCAGCAAGACATAGTTCTGGATGGATTCAGCCCCGGTATTATGCTACCACCACACATCCATCAGTTTGTTCAAGAACGAAGGATCCTCGATGGATGGATGTGGATATGACACGAGAGAGCGATTCAGCTGATGTGGTTATAGTCGGAGGCGGTCCCGCTGGCCTAGCGGCAGCATGCAAACTAAAACAATTGTCCAATCAGCATAAGTCGAACTACCGCGTCGTCGTCCTGGAAAAGGCTCCTTACATAGGTATGACATTGTAAAATCATTATCTTGTGCAAATTCCAGGGGGACACACTTTATCTGGTGCGTGTATTGAACCCACGGCACTGACTGAACTCTTTCCAGATTGGGCAGATCGTGGGGTAGGTTTCTCTTCCGCCAACAATCTGATTTGTCTCCAGGCCCCTTTATTGACCCAGGTGACGAAAGAATCTTTCTTTTACCTCACACGCAAAGGTAAAATCCCGCTACCTATCTTGCCAGGTATGATGAAAATACGATTCGCTCCATTACTGTTTGAGGCCTCCCATTACACAACCGTGGGAATTATATCGTGAGACTGGGGAATGTTGTCAAATGGCTGGGTGAACAGGCTGAGGCGTTGGGCGTGGAGATCTATTCGGGTATTGCAGTCTCTGAAGTATGAGATTTTTTGGTTAGTTCTCACTAATTGACATGTAGCTTTTGTTCGACAGTGATGGCGCTGTAGCCGGGGTGGCAACAAACGACCTAGGTATTCACAAAGACGGCAGCCCAAAAGAATCTTTTCAGCGAGGTATGGAATTCGCTGCACGACAGGTGATATTTGCCGAAGGTTGTCGCGGAAGTCTAACTAAGCAAGTATGTTCTATACACATAAACACTTCACATTGCGTAGGTTCTGAAGAAGTATGGACTTCTTATCCACAGTGAACGTCAAACATATGGAATAGGATTGAAAGAACTCTGGGAAATAAAGGAGTCCAACTGGAAACCCGGCCTCGTCGAGCATGGCATCGGATGGCCTTTGGTGAGCGAACAATCTCTTTGATTGAGTCATTCTTAGTTGACATACTAACGAGTGCTAAGCCTTGTTAGTTTGTTTTCTATATATCTGGAATAATAGAGGACAGATCCTCGTTTAACAGATGATACTACACGCAATATCTTTTGGGTGCTCAGGTCACGTTGTCAGCCTCTATTCGCCCCATCCCCAAAGGGCCCTTTGGGGCGTTGAGTGGGTGTCCTAATTTTATGCCCATGAGTTTCTTGATTAGCCTGTGTTTGTAGCGGTGAATTTTTCGAAAGAAATCGGGTTTGGAGTTCTGGAAATTTCTATTGAAGATGGGCTTCCAAGTTCATGCCCCATGAACACATTCAATAACAATTTTCGCATTGTGGGACTAACGGTGCTCCTGTACACTCTAGTTCTTTTTTACCGGATACCGAGGTAATCTTTACCTGACCGGTTCCTAGATGCTCAGTTTCGCTGGCAAAGAAAATAAAGCACATTCATTAAGACACTGGTCTACCTTCGCGGATATTCCTTGTAGCTGTTCATGTTGCTAGCTATGGTCTCTGTTTGACGAATGTCCAGTGGTGCCTTCTCGAGATACTACCTCCGAAAACAGTCCATTTTTAGTAAATTTGTCAAAGCACACATTATTAGTATACTCTGACTGAGGAGATTAGTGTCGGTACGTCCATAGAGGCATCTGTAGAGAGCGACAGGCATCCTATATTTTTTGTCTAGGACTAGTAATCCGATGCTGTTGTCAACGGTTTGTTGTGCGAGTTAAATGGACTGACTATCTTTTTCATGCCTCGGTGGTTTTCTAGAGGCGTGTCAACAAAATCCTTGACAGGAATCTTTGTCTCTAGAAGAATACAAGGGTTGACCTATGGTTTGAGTGGCCAGGACTTCAGGTTTCATGCCAGTGGTCGAAACCTTGACGTCTTAAGGTTATTGTCTGGTTATATCGAAGTTTTTTGCCGGATTTTTCTTACTAACATACGGAGTATTTTGAAGTGAATAAGTTATAATAGTGTAAGTGAGGAGATCTCAGGGAAATTTGTTTCACTGTTTTCGGCAATAAATTTGAATCAATGTCTTCCGATTTGAAATGCGATTCATTCCGTATCATTTCGGGGGATGTTATTTCCAGCTCCGGATGACTGATCTGATACTCATTATTGCGCTATTCTATTTCTTCTCAAAGCATCGGTTCAGTCTGGCCATTTAGGTTGATCCAATGTTTCGATGACAGTTGACATTAGGCAGGTTTATTTCCACAGAATGAATTTCTGTACGTTTTGGCCTGCGTACTGATTCCACGACGATTGGTCTTTACCGCAAAAGCTCGTCCTATGCTAACGCTTGGTTCTTAAATGTACCCGAATGGCTCGCCCTTCGCACGTTTGTGGTTGATTTTAGAGTAATCCTCGTGCCTTGTTTTGTTCACTTAGGGCAATGGTATTTACGGGGGTTTCTTTGTCTACCACTACAACGAGGGAGCACCATTGGTCGCTGTCGGTATGGTGGTAAGTAATCATGCACGCTGCCTTTGCTTATTTGTTGGCTATTTGAAAACTTTCGTCTCGTGTGGTGGACCATTACTAATTGGTCGACACCTCACCTGAACTTTTATTTTTAGTGGCGCCTTTTTCCCCTGTGATCAGTGTTCATCATTCCTGACACGTGCGTACTGTTACGCATTTAAACCGAAGGAACGTAGTTCCAGCGAACTCGGGACGATGAGCATCTTAACTTTGAAATTTGTTTTCGGGAAACTATGGAAAATGATCGCAACGTTTGGTTTTTGACATAAAAGCTTGGTCGGGCCAAGTGACTAGGTTACGAGGTCGGCCAAGATTTAAATCATAAAGGGGGCCAATCAGCAAGATGAAACGCTGCCCGGCATAAACTCTGCCGATTGTTTTCCAAACTTTTCCGAAGACGATGACTTCTCAGTCAGTTCCAACTGTTTTCCACTGGTGCGAACTTTGGTTATCCCAATTTGTTTATTTGTTCGCTCCCTCTATTTGTGAGTGAGACATCGTAGGTATGTGACGTTCCTTGTGATAAGGCTTTCGGGCGAAGCGGACTTAAAAACATTCGCTGAGTGACTCTCGAGGAAATCCCAAGACTGTGTGTTAACCCAGTCTGATAGGTGCTCACCTGATGTTTTGCCTTTCACCGCTTACCGTTAGACAGCTACCCGACGTTCTCCTAAACTCCTTGAAATAATAAACTGGTCTGGTGAATATGGGGATTCTAAAGTCAAGACACAGCGTAGTGAAACAATCCGATGTTTCTGTTGCATTGGGTAAGCTTTTTCAATGATTTTTACAATCCAGTGTCTGAAATAAGGGTCACTCCCACCTAAGGTGAATGACAGATTTCGGACAGACAGTTCTTCTCGATGCTCCGTCGACTGGTTGTCGTCATCACTCGGTTGTGTCCAACAAATTTGAATTGGACGTCGATACCAGCTTCCATAAGTAGCGAAAATCCAGTGGAATATATCGTTCCTTCAGCATGACAAGGTACTATGCACTTTTCAAAGAAGGTACCAAAGCCTTCGTGGACGGTCCAGCACATCTGAGACGAAAGCAGAATACACGTGGAATGGACGTATCGAATACGGATCCAGTCCTTAAAAATAGCGCGGAGGTATCATGTAAAAGCAGTCTTCGTGTCAGCCTAGTAACCTCAGCGTCCGAGGATACTGTCTGGCATTATCAATTACCGGGAGACACAAATACGTGAGATTCAAGTTGCCTTGAGCTAGATTGCGCTACTCTGACGCACAACGATGATGTTTTTTCACTGGTTTTTGACTCTTTTGGTCGCGGGGAACTATGGTGGTACCGGGCTTTCAAAGATGTCCCATCGAAGTTGTTATTTATGATGGGAGCTCTGTATGACAACGTCCACAAGTCTGTTCACCGACTCTTCTGTGATTGACAGTAGCCGAAAAGTTGGACTTGTACATGATGAGTTATGCTCCGTTGACGTTTATTTTTTAGTTCAGATTCAGAGGTAAACAGATAGATGTGGTTAGTAGCTGCTGTTAGTTTCCATGGTGGTTCAACCACAGGCACGTCGTTCAAATGCAGCTGCTCTAGCTCAGGTGTAGGTGTTGCACGGTCATTTATGAGGTTGGCTTAAACCATGTCTACCAAACTATTTACTCGATCTACGGAGTCGAATGCGGTACGGAGTAGGGTAAAACGGGCGATTATGAGCTGTAAATATTTGTAGCGGTGTTCAAGGATGTAATGTCAGATGAGCATTTGCTCACCACACCCCTTTTCTGAAGGGAATCCGTCTTGATTTAGTTTGGCCCGAACTTGTTGCTCGGATGCACAGCGCTTTGATAAAAAGGCAGTTCCTACTACGCCGTACACCGGAGTTTTTCTAAACACAATGACATTCGTTGCTAGTTCAGTAGCATTACCTGTTTGTTTCAAAAATTCATTGTGGTTGACCCGGATGAACAATGGAGTTTCGCTTCGCGAGATCCGATGTGTTGGTAGATCATGTAATCCAGAATTTCGGGCGATCCAGACTTTCGTGCATCGTGATGTTTTGCCTTAAATGAGATTCTTACAACATAGCTTACTATATTGTAATCTTGTGCTTCATCTGCTGGTCTTCTTCCGTAGGTTTTATAAGCTATGTAGTTATGGAATTCGGTTCCCGATTGTTCAAGAATACTCATGTTGAATCGCCGGTACCTTAGTGATTTGTGACGAGTTGTGTGGCATGGCCTTAGATGAGTACGAACAAAAGTTATCAGACCGTTAGGATTGCTCGTTATCCGCCGTGACCTGGGTAAAATATAGCGAAGTTGATGCGCTATGGATAGCACTTGAATGCCGTGTTATTGGGTCTTTTTATCGGTTAAGAGATATGAATTTTAGTTGTAATGAACTGGTTCAATTCCACAGACTTTCACAGTCACAGCTTTGTGTCATACCGAGATTTCAAGGGGTTAGCGCAAAAACAGGCCAGCAGAACCAACGTGGCGTTCCAGTCTCCGGCACTAATGAGGTTATCTTCGGACGAAATTTCTCGTAGAACGCATCCATGGATCTAGGATCCAGCTTTCGGTCATGCACAGCCGTCACGATCATTTGCAGTGCCTTACCCTTGAAATGCACTACTGCTCTTCTGTGTGGTGTCCATAGGACCAGCAATTGATTTGCTTTTAATAGCAGGAGGCCATTGGTCCTGGTTGTTTGCCGTAACTCGTTCGTCGCCAAAACACTAGAACTCGTGCCTGATCGACTTGTCTTCGAAATGACTCATCAGTTTCCTGGGTGTCCATAGCTTGCACTGTTCTGTGGAATGGAATACCTCCGTTTAACCTCGCTCCTTTTCCACAAAGTTAACTTGGGTCACAACGTATCCTCTAGATAGTTGTCTTTTATGTATCTCCAACTCAACAAAATTTGCTACAGTTACACTAGGGTACTTCGTTTTCCCCTTCCTTGTTTTTTGTAACTGTAAATTATGTCGTTTTTTAAGAACGCGGACCTGGTTGTGCATGCCAACACTTCTCTTCTCACAGATGGGACTGGATTATGAGAATCCTTACACGAGTCCCTTTCGGGAGTTCCAGCGGATGAAACATCATCCACATTTTGCAAAACTCCTGGAAGGAGGAAAACGAATAGGATACGGAGCTCGTGCTGTCACCGAAGGCGGTTTTCAATCTATTCCCAAACTGACTGTTCCAGGAGGCCTACTAGTCGGTTGCGCAGCTGGCTTTCTAAATGTTCCCAAAATCAAAGGGGTTCACAATGCAATGCGCTCAGGTCTAATAGCTGCTGAGGCTACATTTGACGAGCTGCAAAAGAAAACTTCTGGTATGTTCCACTTTTTATTGAGGTATTCATCATTTATTCATCCCCGTGGGTTCGGTTACGGAGAGATCCTACCCGTTCTGAATCGTTCGAACCGCACTCATCTGGCAACATTGGTCTTTATCCTTGGTTTTTTTCTCTTTGTTCTTCCTCTTGTTAAATTTCTTGCAGCTATAATGGCACTGTTGAAAAGAGCCGCTTTGTTCCAACCGGGTTGCTAGTAATTTCCAAGACTGATTATCCAACTGGTGACAGATACTCACGAAAACCTGATTATTGTCAAGTCCCTGGCTTGGAATTCTAACTGAATTTTAATGTGTTCACATCTTGAAAGACCCAGCTAGGCTAGCTATCCATCGTTCTTGGGCAGGTTTTGGTCTGACAATTTTATCTGTCTAGTATGTATTTTTCCTTACCGTGCTGGATTTATGGGGCCTAACTTCAAACTTCTCAAGACAGCCCTCGCCTGATCGTTGTATTGGTTTGGATGAAGTCAGTAGTGGTCACAAAAAACATCCCTGTAATCAGCGAATACACATTCATTTGCAAACTAATTTGGTTTTTCGAGAGACTCACAAACGAGAGATTCAGCTGGGTTCCAGGTCAGTCTCTCGTAAAACCAAATTAGTTTGCAAATGAGTGTATATTCGCGAATTTCGTGCAATTTGGTTTCAAGCAGAACACAAGGTTGACGGAAATCCGGGGACTGCGTCCACCTGATGAGCCCCAAAAAGGGCGAAACCGGTCGTGGGCTGTCGACGGATTTTCAGCAACCTTATGAGTAGTACATTACAAATATATCCCTGTAATCAGGTTACCAGCTACCTTGAATTTTTTGTTGGACACGTGATTCCGTGATCAACAGCTTATAACCACCATTGAGGAGGCCATCTTCACCTACGGATCTCCAGTAATTGTGATGGGATTTGTTTGGCTGCGTTTTCAGGTAAACTTGTTGGAGTTGCGCAACAGTGATCCCAAGCGATAAATTCGTGTGTCGCTGCAACCTAGATTTGGGCAACAGGCATAACGGAACACAGGATTTTGAACTTGGCTCATTTTTGCTCACAACCGACGAAACCGTATCGTTTATGTACCAACCACAACATCATGGTTTTCTTCAATATGAGGACATTGGTTGCGGATGATCACGCTGACCACAAACAACGATTATCCTTTCACAGGGAGTATCGGAACGAGCCCGGAGCACGGTTTCGCAGTACATGAACTGAGACACTTCCAAAGCTTACAAAAGCCGACAGCTCGGTTGGAGATAACAGGTGGATAACTCAACTGTTTATCGAGGTATTCTGCCCAAGAGTCCATTTTGGTCCTTGGTAACTTCACTGGCAGGTGGTGTCCGACAACCTGTTGAGCGACTCAGGTGGGACAGGATGCAGACCTTTTCAGCATTTCTAGATTCTTTGGGCGGAATTTTGGGGTGTCTGTATGTGTCAGGTCTTCGGTGCGGAGATTTAAGTGACAATTTAGATATGCCTTTTAGGTAACCGCTTCACCGAGGGTCGAATTTTCTATTGTCCCAACAGACGGGATTGCGGTCTGTAATAAGGCAGGTTCCAAATGCGGTTACTGTAATAATAAATAAATAATGATTCAGCTGCAGCACCCCTTCGGTGCCTAGCTGTCATGCCCCCCCCCCCGAAGGAAGCACGAGGGCTGGGATACTGCTAGGTTGCCCAAGACTATAGAGGAGCTGTGTAGATGCGATAGTCAGATTAGAACCACGGACTTTTCGGTGAGTAATTTCGCGTCCCAACCATGGAGCCATCTCGAGTCCTGTTGCTGTGCTATCCACAGGGTGAAGCAAAATACAGTCGCTGGCATTTCATGCCATAACAACTATATCCAGCGGTCCACCGGTCACAAGTACAAACGGAGCTCGAATGTTTCACGCTTGTCACTCGAGTATTGCTTTCCTCGATCAGCAGAGTACAGTTAATCTTTCACTACCGCTCGTTCAATGCTAACTTCATGACCATTGTTTCTTTGAACTGTACGTAAATTCCACCCGCGGAATCTATCTGTTCCCATTGCTGACGTATTGTTTTATCGTTACCATTAACGTTCCTGCTACTGTGGTTGCCGACATAGGCTAACCTCTGATCTATCAAACCGAATGGTTCCCCCCGAAGGAAGGAAGCACGAGGGCTGGGATACTGCTAGGTTGCCCAAGACTATAGAGGAGCTGTGTAGATGCGATAGTCAGATTAGAACCACGGACTTTTCGGTGAGTAATTTCGCGTCCCAACCATGGAGCCATCTCGAGTCCTGTTGCTGTGCTATCCACAGGGTGAAGCAAAATACAGTCGCTGGCATTTCATGCCATAACAACTATATCCAGCGGTCCACCGGTCACAAGTACAAACGGAGCTCGAATGTTTCACGCTTGTCACTCGAGTATTGCTTTCCTCGATCAGCAGAGTACAGTTAATCTTTCACTACCGCTCGTTCAATGCTAACTTCATGACCATTGTTTCTTTGAACTGTACGTAAATTCCACCCGCGGAATCTATCTGTTCCCATTGCTGACGTATTGTTTTATCGTTACCATTAACGTTCCTGCTACTGTGGTTGCCGACATAGGCTAACCTCTGATCTATCAAACCGAATGGTTGAACATCATTTGGATGCATCCGACCATATCATACGTTTTAGTTCGTTGAGTATGGTCCAAAGGCTCGGTTCTGCACGATATCCGGCTAGTTTCTTTAGATCAAGACCACTTTGTGTCGTTCAATGCAGGACCAACACCCAAAGGAGTGAATTTTGGACATGTTTGGGTCATTTTTTCAACCGGTTGATCTGTTCCCCTAATAACCCGGGAATTTTGCTTTACGACGCATTGGTTCTCAGTATTGCCTTATACTCTGTAGTCTTGACATCCGGCTGCAAAGTGACCTTAAGTGACAAAACACAGTTGGGCTTCACAGCGAGACAGCATGACAACATAGATTCAAACCACCTGTTGGGACGTGCGGGGGCCTATTTAGAATTGTTTCTTGTCTGGCTTGGAGAGATTGCATAATACCTTCACTGAGACGGTCACGTGAGGAATACAACTAGATAACGGTGCAAAATGTCCACATGAGCGTTCAGCCAACCACAATTTGCTGCCAATGGTTAACAGTCTCTATGAATTTTTTATGTCTAGGTGCATTTTTGTGGTGAATGGTCTGGACCAGTGCCCTCGAATAGGCCGTGAATTATTTATCAAGCAGGTGCTCAGTCTTACTATAGGTGCTTCAGTTAAGGATTGCCTGTAATATCAGAAAATTCGCCGACTTAGTCATATTGCGCGCATACTTCCACAGGAGAGCTTTGCTTTTCATGCCGAATTCAGTGTGGCGTAAACCAAGAGTTGCGCAACATATTACTTGATAGAATGGAACAAAACGGATTACGAAAAGTCTGGTGTTGTGGATGCAACTCGCCTTCCAGAATGAGATTTGCTGTGTTCGGCTACTAACACTGCAACTCATTGCGGCGAATCACGCTCAACGAGGTGTCTGCTACCAGTTTTTGAAACCAGCCTATCCGACTGCGTGCTGGAGGCGCCGCTAGCATTATTGGTAGGTTACCTTCCCTATTGTGGTCTTCCCCACACATCGTGGCCTTCGTCACGAATTGTTTGTACGGCAGTGAATCACTGGTACGATGTCTGTTTACCACTGAACCTACTAACTTCCAAACTGTGGTGCACCGTCACACGCTGATAATTCCCCCTTGAACTTGTTCGCTTATGTCTTTTATCCTCAGACGCCATCTAACTGGTTCTAATCGATGCTACTTTGGCCAAACAGCATTGAGATCGGGATCCTATAAACTAGAGTAAACGTGTATGCAAATTCGGTCTTTTTAGATTATCAGGTCTTCGTTTCTATGCTTTGCTTGCTTGTTCACTGTCTACTGTTATTTATTCACTTTTAGCACAAGCCTTGTCAGTGTTTTCGGCCACCACACACTTCTTAATATGTGCTTTCTTTTACCCCTTTCTAGACAATCAACGGGCGCTGGAAGTTACATCCTACACGGATAGGCTCAAATCCTCTCCCGTGTGGCATGAACTACACAAGGTGCGTAACATACGACCAAGTTTCCATGCCCTCCGATGTGGCATGCTTGGTGTAATGTTCTACACAAGCACCTTATGGTATCTTTTCCGAGGCCGTGAACCGTGGACCTTCAATCATGGACGTAAGTTGCTTTTCACACTTTACCGAAGTCGCCCCATGTTCATCTGAGTCAAAGTGTCCATAAAATCAACTTAGACTTTAAATTACCGAGACTGTGCGGGACAGGAGATGCAACGAAGCAGCACTTGTCTAGTTTGAAAGCTTGGGACTGTGCCAAATCGGTACTGTCATACAGTGTTTTCAATATTTCCAGCTGCCATCAATCCCGTTACGGATAGTACTGGTCTTGTTTTCGTTTTCCATTGGCCACCTCTTTATGGCATCCGGTTGTCCCTCTCAGTTTGGTTTGACCATTCTCATCTCCTCCAATGACGGAGATATCTTCCTCTGATATGTTGGTACCTTAGTTGTTCAGGGACTCAAGGTGGGCTTGATTTGACTCAAATGACGCAGATTATCCAGTCAACACAACGGCATAGGTTGACCACAGGACCAGTGCAGCGACCTACTAGCCTTTCAGCCTTGCGTTAACACCGGTGAATTAAAGCGAAATGGTGAGACCACCACGATTCGTCCATTTCATATTAACAAGCACGCAAGAATCGGCTTAACTTTTTGTGACGTACTGAATGTTATCACATCAGCCCTTTAATCTACCAAGAGACCTTGTGTGCCAGCGTACGTTGGTCAGGTCCCGATCAGCGGCCGACACGTCGTCTTGATCGATTGTTGCTGCGGCAACCATGCCACTATGTATCAGTGAAAACTAGGAACCACACCATACGCACTGAATGCGTTCTCAGCATCTTGACGAACGGCACGACATGACGCCAGAATCTATTGTGTCGGCAACTGCACAGACAATTAATTCTGCCTCTCCAGGCCTACCGACTTGATTCACCACCCAGAGTATTATTCTCTTTTGGTAACAATATCAACTTCAAATGACGAATAGTGAACAGTGCCTGGACGAACAGCTAGCGATCCATGTTGCATGTTTTAAGATTCACAATTGCTCCGTTGGAAATGAGTTGTCGGTGAGTGAGTTCTGAGTCATCCTTTTCGAAAAAGTGTATTCTCTACTGTAGTTAGCAGTTTGGGTTTGTCAAGCCTGTTTGCTGTGAAGGGTGATCCGTCCCTGAACTGGTCGCCCCGCACTACTGTAGCACATTAACTCCCGGGTTTCATCTTGGAGGTTTCCTACTTGTGTTCTGTTCAGTACCGGACAATGCAATGTTGAAGCCTGCTTCCGCCTGTAAACCCATCGAATATCCTAATCCGGACGGAGTCCTCAGCTTCGATTTGCCCAGCTCCGTATATCTTACAGGAACCTATCACGACGACGATGAGCCAGCCCACTTGACCCTGCTAAATGATACGGTACCGGAGACAATTAATTTGCCGGAATACGATGGTCCTGAACAACGGTATTGTCCAGCTGGTAAGTCTCATTTTGATAGTTGCCAATCGGTTCTTCCAATTCCCAGTCTACTGACAGGTTTCGCTGGTATCCTCGACGTTGTAAGAGAGGTTTGTTTCATTCTGCTAAACTGCTCGCGTACTTTTCGTTATCCAAATCATATTCTTATTTTTTTATAGGAGTGTATGAGTTTGTAGAAACTGAAAAGGGCACACATTTGCAAATCAACGCTCAAAATTGCATCCATTGCAAGACCTGCGATATCAAAGATCCTACGCAGAACATCAACTGGGTTGTTCCACAAGGAGGTGAAGGACCTTCCTACAACGGAATGTAATCCCCATGTTACATCTTTTCGTATGCGCTGCTTTCATTGATCCCCCTTGCTTGACGACTTTCATGGTCCAGAGCACCTCAGTGACCATGTCGATCTGCCGTGAGCCTTTCCCGTTTGTAGTTAATCTGTAATTTATGTCTTCAATTTTTAAAGTAATGATTTGTGTATGAGTTTTGCAGATAATATGAATTCTGGTGATCCAATTTCTCCATTTTTCAACTCTGAAAGTTTCCAAAGTTTGTGTGTGCTCCTCGCTGCATGCTTGTCGTTGAGTTCTCATCAAGTCTGTTCATAAACGTCGTTAAGTCCGATGTTCGCGGATCCCTACTGAATTACGAATTAATTGCCATTTGATAGCAAACTGATAACATTTTCCCCACAATTATAGTGTGGTAAATACTAAAGCAACTCGTACTATTTTCTGAACCAGCTGGCTTCAGTCCGCTCCACGATATGAAGCAATATTCCGGAAAAGAGTCTATCTATAGAGCCCAGGCTTCTACTGGGCTGGGGTGGGGCTCTCGTCTAGGATTAATTAATGGGATCGAATGTCGGTCTGCTAGAGGGAATCCCGTTAGTGGCTCGACTAATGAATGGTCTCTGATCTTCCTGAATAGGACTACGAGTGAACCGAGCGTCACCGCAGCAGCGGTAAGGCAGCGTTGTACCGTGGGGCTGCCTATTTGTTTTACCTGAATCGGGCTTGCCAAACTACCACGGGCACCGCCAAGTTAAACATACAGAGCTGGTGCGTAAATACATTGGATGGTTGAATGACCCAATGTGGTCACTCGCATTATTCGTTCACGTCCAGCCAATGATGACGTGAACATTTGCACATCCGCTCCACTGGGTGTGTGCCGCTAAGCCGTATTCTTGTAAACTCTGCGCATGCACCCGCTCTGCGGAGCATGCGCCGTTCTCGGCTCTTGCTTCTGGACAAAACAAAGTGGTTCCTTGGGCCCGCATCCCATTGAGTTTCTCGAGTATGGACTAGATCATCATCATCAAAGACAGCAACATCAGTGTTGGCACTGATGCTTCACTGCCGTACAACCATAAGGTTCGTCTAGTTTATATATATATATATATATA